TAGCCATGCTCACTTCAATTGATTGGGGGTTCTATAGAATGATTGAGGAGGTATTGTTGGATCGGATATAGTCATGCTCAGTTTATTCAAGGGCTTAATCTATAGTGAGCTTGGAGATGTATCAGTGGGATTGGGTGGCCAGGCTTAGCTTGGTCAAGAGGTTCTATAGAAAGGCTGCAGATGTATCAGTGGGATTGGGTGGCCAGGCCTAGCTTGGTCAAGAGGTTCTATAGAAAGGCTGCAGAGGTATCAGTAAAATTTGGTGGCCAGGCTTAGCTTGGTCAGGAGGTTCTATGGGAAGGTTAAATGCAGATGTATCAGTGGGATTGGGTGGCCAGGCCATCGCTTTGTCAGGAGCTTCTATAGAACAGTTGCAGAGATGTAAGAAAACATTGTAGGTAAACATTGACCATGTTTCTTGCCATAATGTTTTACACATTTTTGTATACTTTTTAATCTTTGTTAATAATCGAACATGAATAAATGTATCTAATTTTCCATTCTTTACATACATCATCAACAAATAAATAAATAAAAACTTATTTTGTGAAAGGAAACACCAGTTGACTTCAGCATTAGAAAGGTTAAGTAAGAATTTTTAGCTATATTAGAAAATCCAAAACTTACCTTTGCAACATCAACAAACTTAGTGACAACTTCCGCACGCTGCTTTGGGGTTGTCCTACTTAGCACCATACATTGTATCCACTGTGACAAACCATTAAAAAGAGCTATGGAACGTTCCAGTTTGGGGTTATCTTTAAGTTGCTTGTGGGATGCATAGCTTTTAAAATCAGAGAACTGCAAATTAAACCAACAGTCAATTACCATCAATGTGCTGACTGTATTTTACATGTATGAATATTAATGTATATATTTATGATTTTTATATAATTTTATTGAAATTTAATTTATTTATTCACAAATTTCAACAGTAACATTGTTGAAAATTACTTTGCAGGCAATTTCAGGAGAAAATAACATTTGTTTGAAACTGTACTGTGTAATTTTTTTTTTTCTACTTTACTCTTGATTTTTTATCCTCCAAGACTATTTTGTTGTATTTTTTTTTGTCATTTTTTTTTCTGTAAAATTGTTTTCAAATTTAAATATGTCAAGAGTGTCTAATGCTCAATCCTTAATATTTCTTCGAGCAGCTTCACTGTAGTCACGATGTCATTTAATCACCAAATAACTGTACCTATCCATGTACAAAATAGCTTTAAACAGAGTGAAGCAGACACCTGCAGTCATACAAGATTAAAAATAAAAAATTAAGGTCAACCTACAGTTAATCTTCGGAAAATTTTGTACTCCAGAAACGTCAAGTGATCAGCCAACTCGTTTGGTTCCAAGTGGTTGAAAACTAAAGATACTTTTCGGTTATGTCGTATTGTGCTGTTTCGTACTGAGATATGCCGCATCCAATCATATGATGGTCTGTCAAAAAAAAAATTTATTATAAAATGTAGTACTTCTGAAAACCTTTATTTTTGTCAGAAAGAAAAAGTTGAACATGGAAAAAACTTTAGAAGCTTTCATCATACCTGGCAGTTGTAATAGACATTCTATTATTTAAATACTCAAAAGAATTCCCAATATTAAACTGTGAATATTTACTGAAAAACCAATCACACAATCTTATTGTAATCATGGAGTTGACAGGATTCTACACTTCTAAAATGCCTGAAATTAGTACCGGTAATCAACTGAAGTCATAAGATGCATACCAATTTATTAATATTATGACTAACCTGGCCTACTAAATATCTATGATTAAATTTATTGTAACCGGAGCACATCGACTTGAATTAATATACATGTATATATAATTCGCTCACAGTTCCTTAGCACAAGCAAAGAGGTCAAAAACAAATGCTTAATACTGTCTAAGAAACATCAAGTCAAAGCTATATCTGACTTGGTCAGTCCTTAAATACAGACTAATAAAGTATGTGAGTATGACTAGCTTGGACTATTAGCGGCCTTGGTTGACCTTTATTGGCACCAGAATTCCATTGTATACAGTGCTCATCCTGAGAGTTTGCCAAACCAAAATTACTCGGATTTTCAATGTTTTGCATTTTGATATCCAAATTCAGCAGCCAAATGTCATTAGAGAGGAATGTCCGAAGACTATATATGAGGGGTATATTGTGATTTATTCCATTCCACATGATCGGCTCTCCTCCAATCAGGGGATTTCAACATATACATAGTATTTACTAATATCTATCAACTCTCACTATTATCTAGCAGCGAAAACTCATAATTTAACCGTCCGTGAACACACACATGAACACGCTCGAAAGTATTACAATTGACGTCTGCTACACACCAATTAAGATAACTGTGATGCAAGTGTGCATACTGTAAAATACTTTATTTTAGCTGGAAAGACTTTTTGGGTGGGTTGTATGGAATTTATTTTCACTGATTTTTAAAATGTAAAATATAAGCAAAAAAGAATATATTCACTGGATTGTATTTTCAATGATTTATTCCTTAGGCAAAAATTAATTCCAAGCGAAAATAAGGTATTTTACGGTACTTTTCATTAGTCTCGTAAAAACACCTCGCTACTAGTAAGTTACTGTATATACAAAAATATGAAAATCCATCTATAGGTAGATATTACTTATAGTAATGCAATAGTTTCAATAATGAACAACTATAACTTACATGCTTGATATATCAACTACATTTTTCAACTTTGTACATCCCGTCCTCTTGAATATGTCTTTGTAGTGTCCACACAACACTTGATAAGTTTTTATCCAAGTCAAAATGAACTGGAAAATGGCTGATCCAATATCTGGAATGAAGTATAAAAATTAACACTATCACTGTGACAATGCAACAACATTTTGTCATTTCGTAACTTGCAAAATTAAATGCATTAAAATTAAAGATACCGTACACACATATAGCAATGGAAGTTATGCTCTTAAAAGTCCGGACCAAAAATGAGATTATACTGGTCTAAGCTGGTATGAACTGCAATTTACTTGCATTCCACAGGGGTGTGTGAGTACATGTATCACTAATGTTACAATGTAAGTTTTGAAAAACTAGGATAACCAGTCTATACTGGTATGAACTGCAATGTACTCGCATTCCAAAGGTTTGTGCGAGTACATGTATCACCAATGTGTGTTTTGAAATACTAGGATAACCAGTCTAAGCTGTTCATGAACTGCAATGTACTTGCATTCCAAAGGTTTGTGCGAGTACATGTATCACCAATGTATGTTTTGAAATACTAGGATAACCAGTCTAAGCTGGTATGAACTGCAATGTACTTGCATTCCAAAGGTTTGTGCGAGTGCATGTACCGGTATCACCAATGTGTGTTTTGAAATACTAGGATAACCAGTCTAAGCCGGTATGAACTGCAATGTACTCGCATTCCAAAGGTTTGTGCGAGTACATGTATCACCAATGTGTGTTTTGAAATACTAGGATAACCAGTCTAAGCCGGTATGAACTGCTATGTACTTGCATTCCAAAGGTTTGTGCGAGTACATGTATCACCAATGTGTGTTTTGAAATACTAGGATAACCAGTCTAAGCTGGTATGAACTGCAATGTACTCGCATTCCAAAGGTTTGTGCGAGTGCATGTATCACCAATGTGTGTTTTGAAAAACCAAGGTGCAATATTTAGCAATTTAAATACACATATGTAACAATTCATCAAAGGAACTATCAACCTGCATTTTCGTTGTTGTTTTTTTATTTCAGAAGCACTTTAAATACTTCAATATCCTTTTAAAGTACAGTACCGTCTTACAAAATATCAAAGCAATCAGACATTTATTATTAAAAAAAAATGTCGCAAATTACTATTATTTGAATACTCGACAAATTCTCAATATTAAACTGTGCATATCTGCTGATTGGGAGGATATTTTGGGAAAACCAATCACTCAAGAAAATACTGTGTGACAATGACACAGTTCTTGTCATTTTTAATAAAAAAGTGCATGTGCATGTGTACGTGTATGTAATATGTCTTGTGATATGTATATGCAATCTTTCGAAATGTATTAGTTTTTCAGCTCAGGCAAATCTTTTAGTTTTGCAACAGATTTGAACCAAATCCACAATGAATACTTGAAATATGGTTACAAAATGGCTTGATATTGTTGTATTATTTACTCTGATTGACACTTATATGACAGACATCATACAATCTGGAATCAGTTGTGCAATTTATTTTTTTAAATATTGGCTGTATATATTATTCATGTCTTAATTATTTAGTATGACTGTCACATGCACACTCCTATTACAAAGAGGGTACAAAACCCAATCCCAAAACAAAATCAAGGTCCTAAATGTCACGATGTTCAATGTATGTACTAATTAAGTTTAAAGGCCTAATTTAGTCACCATGTTGGATTGTTTATTTGAGGTGTAGCTAATGAGTGCTGCTAAACACTTGCACAGTGTATGTTTATCGAACCTTTCATTTATTTACAAACTGATAACATTAATCCCCAGAAGCATCAATTGTTACATTCAAATTAAGGGATCACCGCACGTGCCGAAATCGTTAATCTTTTGTGTTTGCAGAAGGATTACAGCACTTACATTCACGTTAGTCGGTACCCACTCGGCTTGTGCCGAAATCAGCCCTCATTCTTCGACCTGTTATTTGGCCCAAACATGGAAAA